CCTGGGGTCCGACTCCAGCGTGGAGCTGCTCTTCTGCAGTCAACGAGGAGACGCAGAACATCGCCAGGGGTTTAGGGTTTAGGGGTTTAGGGCTTAGGGGTTTAGGGGTTTAGGGTTTAGGGTTTTAGAGGTTTTAGGGGTTTAGGGGTTTAGGGGTTTAGGGGTTTAGGGGTTTAGGGGTTTAGGGGTTTAGGGGTTTAGGGTTTAGGGTTTAGGCTCTGGCCGTTCGAGAAGACCCCGACATGGTAGGAAGCCGGGCACCATGCAACCGTAGCACCCGGAGCTCTAGGCTCGAGGCTTTAGGGCTTAGGCCAGGCTCACAGTTTAGGGTTCAGGGTTTAGGGTCTTGGGTTTAGGGTTTAGGGTTTAGGGTTTAGGGTTTAGGGTTTAGGGTTTAGGGTTTAGGGGTCTTGGGTGTTAGCCTTGGGTTGAAGTTTGAGTCAAGGGCTTAGTGGGCTCTGCAGTTCAGGATTTATGCTTTGGGGTTTGGGGTTGGAGCCAAGGCCTTTCTGGAGGGTGCCGAACCCCATAATGTAGAGCCCGAAATAGTTGCCAATACTATTTTGGGGGTTCAAAATGAAATAGGGGCCTTAATGATTAGAATGGGGTTCTGGGGGTTCCTTATTATAAGTATAGTATATTGGGCCCCAAAACCCTATTCTAATTATTAAGGCCTCTACATTACCCGAAACCAGTGCCCCGCGGCTGGGAGGACTCTGCTGGGGTTCCACGGCCTACGGGGGCGAGTGCACTGGCGTGGACTTCTCCCAGGTCAGCAAGATTGACGGGAATCTCTTGGCCTTCGCACCTTGGCGAGTTTAGGTTGTGGGCTTGAAGCTTTGGGCTTCGGATTGAGGGAGCTAAAAACATCCTCACACCGACAGAATCTATGGGTTGGGCCTTTGAACATGTTGCGTTGTCAGAACTTGCAAGGTAAGCGGTAGAGGCAGCTTCAAACAAGAGTGAAACTCTCCTTAGTCTGTTTTTTGTGTGAGCAGCCCTAAATAGTGTGCTTGCAGGATGCGTTAAGCCTCAAACCCAAACCCCTCACTCCGTATTTACGAAACCCACCGAATCTGGCAAAAGAAGGTTGCGATTGGCGGCAGCTCTGGGCAGTGTTGGGGTCACAGCTCCTTGGTCAATCTTACGGATCATTTTTACTTGTTGTGGTTGTGCAGGGGTTTACGGGCTTTATGTGGGGTTTCGGGTTCAATCGTTTAGGGATACTGTTTACTTTTGTGGCTAGGCTTCCCGAATGCTTGGGAGCAGAGCCCAATAAATGGATCCTTCTTGCTTTTGTGCTTAGGCCGATTCTTCTTGAAAGGGAGCCCCAAAAAGGGATCCTTTTCCTCTTTCCTTCTGGAAGACCCGAAGCCCTTGAGCCCAAAACCAAAACGGTTTAGGGTTTAGGGTTTAGGATTTATGGACCTTCATGCTGAAAGCTGCTAAAGCCTACACACGAAAGCGGTTCAGGCTCTTTTGGCGGTGACTGCAGCACGGTGGATTTCTCTGGCGTCACCGAGGTCTCGAGCTAGTCTTATAAAGGTTACTGGTGTTTGATGATCCGGAATTCCTCTGTGCAGCAGGTTCTGTCCTAGGGTTTAGGGTTTATTGTGTTTGGGGTCGGGGTTTAGAAACCCTAAGCCTTGAACCGTAGAAGCCTGATTATAGAGTACTCAGACTTCCATAACGGGATCATCTTAACGCCCCTTCTTGGGGTCCTGCTAAAGGGATTGTTTCCTTCTGAGTTTGTTTTTTGTTGACAGTGGCTCAGCTTAGCGACCGAACTCGTAGGACGCGCTGTCGGCTTCTGAAACACCTGAAAGACTAAGTTCTAGAGCCAAACCTGAAAGACATTGAAAGCCCACTGCCCTAAAACCTCAAAGACCCTTATCCCTAAACCCAAACCCTCAACTCTAAACCCCAAACC